GCGAAAAAGATGGACTTGGAAAACAGGAAAACTGTCCTCCAAGGACGAAAAACGGCAAACGGAAATTAGTAACAAAATACAGCCTTGAAGGCTGTGGAAGGACATCTGTAATGAATTAAAGCCTTGAAGGCTGCTGACCATCTGTGGGAACCAAGGTTTTCCGAGATTCCCACACAGATACGAAATGAAAGACTAAATTCGTCGGGGAATTCGGGTTCTTCAAAGCTAGCGTATCGAATTTAATGTATCCGTTGAAATATTCGCGACAAGTTGGGCTTGACGCTCACTTGATCAACGTCACGTACGTAACGCAGTAAAGACCAGCAGCTGTTGCTCTTCACTTCTTTTCGGTCCACAAATAAGCACATCTGTTTGAGCATAGCAAATTTGGAAGGAGACATTTATACTCACTGAAGTGTATGTCATCCAACAGCAGGGTTCCACTTGATTCGAGTCCAAGCTCCAGAACTCGAGCTCCTCCTCGAACAAAGGACCACACACGTCCGTTGGGTAATGAAGCTTCCCGGTCCTATAATAACAACAACGATATCAATTAAATGAAATGTTTCTTTTTTTCTGCAGAGCCTGAAAATATTTTACAGCTGTACTGTATCTGGAAATATGAAAATGTGCTACGGGAAAAGGTATTACGCGAGAAAAAGAAGGAATTTGACTTCAGTCCACTGCTCGCTTTATTCCGCAGCAATAGGAATATTTTTATTGTTTAGAGTACTGTATATGACGAGTGAGAAGAACGTGCGTTTTATATATGCATTCCCGCACATATCCTTCTATTCAAATTCCAAAGGACCTCTTTTTTTTATGGTGAACCGACTGTAAAGCGTCCTAACAGACGCGCAAAGTAAGTCATCCTTAAAATAAAGCCTAAATATATGTCACGGAAGCTGTAAAAGATTTCTACTGTTATTAGGAGGCGACAAGCGCTCCTTGCTGAAAAAGATCAATTGCTTCGCTGAATGAAGGTCCAAAATCATTCAATTCGTGAGAAAAGTGGTCCAAAAAGAGTTTGAACACAGTGAAAAATTTAACTCATATTTATCTTTAGACGTTTTTTACACACGCAAGATCGACAGAATGGGAAACTCGTCGTCTTCCAAGAAAAGACAAAGCGTTAACCCGGTCCTAAATAAAAACGTAAGAAAGTTCAAAACGAGTTGTTTTACCGTGTTCTTCACAGTGGCCTATTGGTAAACATTCAGACAAGCCACGAGACGAAAATTGACAATCTCCAGCAGACCCCCATAGTTAATCCTATGGCTGAAGGTTAAAAACAAAACAAAAACCAGCTTCGCAAACATAGAAAAAATATACAGATATTTTACGTCTTTTAAGTTATATATTCGCCAGCGCAACATTTTTAAAATTTAAAAACGTCTGGTGAGGAATTCCTGCAAAAATATCACAGAACCACCTCCAGCAAAGGATTAATAAACAGTACAGTCAAACCTCTCTGGGTCAAATTTCAAGAAACCTACAAAAAATTTGGACTTAGGAAGGTTTCAACTTAGGGAGGTTTTGAATTATATAGGTTTGAACTACAATGCAAAGCCCTTTCTCAGCAGGGAAACTTAGAAAAAATGTAAATGGTGATCTTCTGGGGGTTCAATGACTTCTTAAATGAGTTGAAAGGCTGCTGAACTTGGAGACAGGGGTTCACTTGCCCAATCAAGTCTCTCACTTCCTTTAAAATACATAAATTTCCGTTTTCGTTGCTTTTTTTCTTTCGTGGGTTTTCTTTTATTACCGGTTGTCCGGTGTCTTGTAAGCTGATTACGTCCAAATTATCCCCTTTTCGAAAACTGAATTTCCCTCCAAGTTTAATAGCTCCAAGTGGGACATATAGTTGGTCTGAACCGCACATTCCCACGCAAATCGAAAAAATAATTATGCAAAAATCGAAATTAGCGTGTGATGGGCAATGCATACCTGTAGTAATTGAGAACTTGAGCAAAAACACCGGGATGTCGGTCGAAGAAGTATTCGTTGAGGATGGGGTCGTAGTTGGCTAGGGCGAGCCAGTTCGCTGACTCAGCCCAGCGGCCCTAGAAGAACTCGCACCGGAACATACAGAGTACGGCCTACGGCGGCTGCAACTCGTGGTGCGCCAAGAGGCGTAGGTACAAGTACCAACTACGGGTCAAGGGCTATATATATATATATATAATGTGATGATGATGATGATAATCCTGTGCTTTTTTCTTCGTCTTCTTCTTCTTCTCCGTCTTGGGCTTCCTTGATCCCCACTTTTTTTTGTGTGTGCTCCCCTTTTTTTGTATTATTATTCGTCCTATCTCTTCCTTCACTCGCTATGGAATGTGCATATGTATATGTACATATGTACCTTCTTTTATTCCTGCTCGCCTGCTTTTTTTTCTTCTTCTTATTGACTTCCTGCTATCGCGGAGTCGACTCGGTACCGTGCTACGAGTAGCGCCTGAAGGCCGGTGAAGGCCGAGGTGTGTTGCCGGGGGCGGCGTAACCGGTAGTGCTTCAGCCTTACTAGAGTGCGTATGCTAAAAAGCGCGAGGAAAACTTTTCTCTGTCATAGAAGACATAGTCTCATAACAAAACCACTGAACTGTACTGTATTACAGTCAAACCTCTACAAGTCAAATTTCAAGGGACCAGCAAAACATTTCGATTTGAGGAAATAAGCATTTTTGTTGGTGTAGGAAGAATATAAAAATGGCAAGAAATTGTCGATAAAAACATTCACTGGGCCTTAAATGCTTCTTGAATGAGTTGACAGGATGCTGAACTGGAGGCAAGGGTTCATTTGTCGAATTATCGTAGTAATTCACTTCCTTTCAAAACACACAAAGTTACAATTTAAATTGCGTTTCTCTTACCCGTGTCACGAAATAAAGGAGTTCAGTTGGGAACAAAAAAAAATTGACTTCAGAAGGTATTTGACCTATATAGGGACATTCAAGTTATTGATGTTCAACTGTAGTACTGTAATATGCGTTTCTCTTACCCGTGTCACGAAATAAAGGAGTTCAGTTGGGAACAAAAAAAAATTGACTTCAGAAGGTATTTGACCTATATAGGGACATTCAAGTTATTGATGTTCAACTGTAGTACTGTAATGTACATTCCGAAATATTTTTATTTTAAGGGTTTTCTGAGATTCGAAACATGATTTTTCTTGAAGATGGTTTGTCAAGAATTTGGTACGTTCCTTCATTTCGGAATATGTAAGTAAACAGAATACTTTCTACAGAAATATTTCTGAACTCATTTTTTCCTCCCTCTGTACCCAGCAAATAATTTGGACGTTGCAAAATGCGTTGTGAGGGTGTTCTCATGCCATTAGGGCAAGGACGTTGCGAAAACGTCATCTTGGTCTTTACTCAACGCCCTGCCCCCTAACGTTGGCAGGGGGCGTTTTGAAACGCGATTAGAACCCATTGCCAACGGGGCTGAAACCGTTGAGCCTGAGAGGCAATAAAAAAAGGGCAATATTGCCCACCATTCAATTGCCATTGGCAAACGCATTCCCAAGGTGATGCCAATGGTATTGTCCCAA